TTTCTGCCCAAGAGCTCATCTCAGTCTCCCCTCGGGCAGGTTCAAGCCATTCCCCTTGTCCTGTCCCTACAGGCCCTTGTCATAAGCTCCTCTCCAGATTTCTTTTTGGTCCCTTTACTGTTCCACAATAAGGTTTAGGTATAATGGTACAGTGATTTTTGATGATACCCATGTGGAGTCCTAGGGTCTCCCTATAGGGAGCAGCTTATCTTTCATTTCCCCAAAGGATTCAGACATTAACTGAATTGTGACCATGCTGCTTCCCACCCCCTGTACCTTCGTTCCCGTGTCTGCCGTGATGCATCCCGTTGGTGTCGGACCCAGTCGCTCCCCACTGTGTTTCTGTCACCCCTCCAGCACCGTTCGTGCCCTGCCCCACCAGCTGGGGCTGCTCCAGCTCCTGGCATCCATCCACCAGCATTTCACCTTGAACACTGCAGGCTCACACGTATGGCCCGTGCCCGGGGCAGCTGGAAGGGGACAACCAGCAGCACCAGGGGCCCGTGCAGGCAGGCAGTGGCTGGAGGTAACCTCTTCTTCACTGCTCTCAGCTGACCATGCCTTGTCCAGGCAGGTCATGGACTGCCACCCTCTGTACCTCTTCCCTGGCTGCCGTTCCCATCCCTGTTGGCACTTCCATTCTCTGTGTTCATCCACCCATTGACACTTTGTGCAGCCTTCAGCCATCTGCAAAGAGGCATCTCAGGGCCCGGCCTGGCGGGCTGTGCCGTGCTTCATGCTTTGGGAAGCACCTGGGAGAGGAGCAGCAGTGGCAGCTCTCGAGAGTTCCCTTTGGGGAAGGATGGAAAACTCCTCAAGTACAGTTTAATCAAGCACTGAGTGTTCACAAACCATCCGAAGGGTACGTCTGAAAGGGGAAGAGTGGGGAGGAGCAGGAATTGCACAGGATGAGCCAAGGGGTAGAACGAGGAGAAATGGAATCGAGTCAATCAGAGGTGTTATTTGGGGTGAAACGTGGCAAGATGTGGCTAAGATTCTTCGTTAGGTTTCTCACCCCCCTTTAATCAGACTTGCGAAGCAACATCTAAAGTGTTAAGCAGTGCCAGATGTGCGGGATTGCAGCTGGAACAGGCTGCGACCAGGCTGGGGGTGCACTGAGTCCTGAGTGACTCTGGCAGGACTGGACTTCCCAGCAAGTCTCCACTCCTAAATAGGGCTTGTTCTCTCTTCCTAGACAGAAGCAGTTCCTTAGACGGCACTCTGCAGGGACCAGGCCGGGGTACAAAGCGCTATTCCCAAGATTTCCCTCCATACAGTGCTCCTCTCTCCCCCAAGTTACCAAAGAATGACCGTCACCCTTTGGAAGGTGAGCACAGTGTCTCTTCCCAAAGCTGGCTGGTTTGGGGAAGCAGTGACTTGTAATGGACACAGCAGGACTGGAGCTGCTGTGCAGAGCGAGCCGTGGGTTTAGGTCTGCTTTGCTGGCATGGGTCGGTGCTTGGTGTTTCAGGTAGAAATGAAACCATGCTCTGCCAAGACAGGTTGCCCAAGCAGCTGTGTGAGGCATGTGGAATGCAGGGAGAATTCCTCCTAACCCTGATAGTCATCACCTAATATCACATAATCTGGTATTTAATTTACCCTTAATTTAGCTTCCGTTGCTGTGCATGGTATTAACAGTCATAAAACTGCCCAGTTTCAGTCAATCTTCCCCCCAGTTTTTCCGTGCTGGTTTGCTGCAGTGTGTTGTACAGATGCTGATGTGCAGCTGCACGGACAGGAACCTGTTGTCCTTTCCCAGGATCCCATCTTGCTCCTCACAATCCTTCCGAAGTAGCAGGGAGGGTCTCACGAGCATGTTCTCCACCAGCTGAACCAGGTCACATCACATCCCACAGTGCTGCTGTTCCCTGTGGTGTCCATCAGAGAATGCTGGTGCAGATGTGCTGCAAAAGCAGTTGCAGGGATGTCCTCAGTGGTGTGTGGTCCATTGGTGTCCCTTGCATGTGGAGGTGGGAGATTTCCAGGGGGTTCAGGTAGCTGGAGGACCCGAGCCTAGGCAGGAGTCTTCAGTAACTACACTTCAGCTTCCCTTTTGGTTTGAACTGTTATGGAGATTTAACCTCCCTGAAGCCTCTTAATTAATTGATGGTGAAATCTGCCAAGGTGTTACTCTCAATTCTTCGTAATATGCCCCTTAAGAACTGCTGGAGACTCTTGGCTGGGCTCATAGTTCAGTGGCTTTGTGCTCTCTTGCTGTGCCTTCAGAATCACCATGTCCCTGGTTCTTGCTGGGCTTGAGTGCTGAGCCCAGATTTGCAAGTGCACGGCCTCACCCGTGTCATTTTAGTCTCCATCCATCACTGTGCCCTCTGCTCTGCAGGGTTACTGACCCCATTCCTAAGTGCAGCTGATCTGGACTTGCACCCTACAATGGACAGTTTCTAGTGGCCTTCGTATTTACAGGGAATAAAATGGTCATTTGGTGAAGAACAAGGTGACATGTGGGACCATCTCATCTGTTCCAGCACACTGAAAGACAAAAGTTGTTCCCTGAGGCTCAGTCTGTTTCTCACCACTACATACATGCCCTTGATGATCCCCTGACATTCTCTTCCAATACATCAACCACTGCACTTAGGTAACTGTTAGTAAAGCCTTTCTACTCCTTTACCAGAAGATGGGACATGCAGTGCTCAGCCTGCTCTTGAAGCACGGTGACGTTCTCTAAAGATTAAGGTGCCTGTGTTGAGTGGTGAGTATTGTACATGCTATTGTCACTGAAGAGAGAAGGCTTCTGTAATGAGTAATTCTGAGGAGGAACTTACGTTAGGTTATCTACAAGATGGATTCTTAGTCTACTTCAGAGTCTATTCGGTTATCTCTTGGCCTTTAATGGGACATATCATCAGGATGCCCAGAATACTGCATCCTCTTCTGTAAAAGTAGAGACCAGGGCATAGAAAGTGCGTCTTCACATCCTGTTGGATCAGCTTGGTCTTGTTCTGTTCTTGACTCAAGCAGGGGGGTCTACATGAAGTTTAAGTACAAGCAGGAATATTTGCATTTCATACGAGCCTGAAATAACTCAGCTGTTGAGTGTTTCTTGGGCAAGGAGGGACATCTTCTCACAGTGGTAACTCCCCAGCAGAGCACGTTCTGGCTTCAGCAGTGTGCCAGGCAGCAGGACCTGAACAGTTTCCACTTTGCCAGGCTGAAGGCAGTGAGCAGCAGTGGGAAGGAGCCGTTCATCACACCTTTGGCAAGAAATCAGGAGGCTGAGGAGGGGATCTCCCTTCTTACATTGTTTTTCCTCTCACATCCAGTGGCATTTATGGAACTCCTTGCTAAAAAGCTGCAGTTGCAGCACAGTGGGGACCTGCTTTCCAAAGGCTGTCGTTCCTTTGGAGCAGTGGGAGTTTAGGAGTTGTGCAAACCAGATCGGTGCTTGTGGCCACACTCCATGCTTTAGCAGTAAAACCACACTCTTGAATCTCTAGCACTGTTAGTTTAATTACACTTTAATTAGCTGCTCCCTGCCTCTGCCCACTAATGGCACGTTTCCTGCAATGTTCTAAATACAAGCTTTTACTTAAAACTAGCAGTGTGTGTAAGAAAATCTGCCTCAGGATTACCCACCTCCCCATCGCTCCGAAGCCGGGTACCGAGGCAGGAGGATTCTGGATAGGGTGTATGCGTGAGCACAGCCTGCGCCCTCCTGCTTGCAGAAGCATGTTGTCTGCTGCTACAGATGAGTCACAGGGCTAAGAATCATTCCCCTCTTGCCTTGTTTCCCTCTCCCCTTTCTGGGGCTCTCATTCAGCTGAGCAGTTCTCCGGGTGGTTGTATTTTTAAGAAGATCCTAAGTCTCTTTTGTTGGTCCTACCAAGAAGCCTCCAGCTCTGCTGCAATACTTAGAGCCCAGCCAAACACAAGTCCAGAGAGAGGTGACCTGAGGATGAATGTGCAGCTTTAGTTCTCCCTCTCAAACAGTGCTCTCCAGTTGGATGGCCTCATCCTCTTCTTCGGATGTATGATCATAACCACATGTGAGAACATGACCACATACTTGTCGAATGCATCACGGTGCATTCACATCAGGAGAATGACACTGTGTTAATTGTTGAGTTAAATATTTATTGAGGATGAGTTTTTGATCCTTAGCACTGCACTGACAGGAACCCGTGCACGTGGTGTCCCAGCATCCCAAACTGTAGCCTTCACTAGCTGAGCCCAGAAATTCCTTCTACTGGCACAGATCATAGACTTACAGCCTGGTTTGGGGTGGAAGAGACCTTAAAGCTCATCCAGTCCCAACCCCTGCCCCGGGCAGGGACACCTTCCACTAGAGCAGGTTGCTCCAAGCCCCTGTGTCCAACCTGGCCTTGAACACTGCCAGGGATGGGGCAGCCACAGCTTCTCTGGGCACCCTGTGCCAGCGCCTCAGCACCCTCACAGGGAAGAGCTTCTGCCCAAGAGCTCATCTCAGTCTCCCCTCTGGCAGGTTAAAGCCATTCCCCTTTGTCCTGTCCCTCCATCCCTTGTCCGGGGGGGTTCTGGGCTGTGAGTGCCAGTTCCCACCTGTGTGAGCTTTGGGGTCTTCATGAGCAGTTTCACGGGCACGTTTGCCTGACCCAGCACTTTTTTTTTCGTGGGGTGTCCTAGAAGTTGTAGATGCGTCACCTCACATTGGGTGCTGCGTTCCCGTGAGGATGGAGATGGGCAGCACAGACCTGTTCCCATGCCCGCAGCTCCATGCTGTGATTGAGCACCCCAACCAATGCAGAGGGCACCCACTGCCCCTTCTCATGTCTCTGCACTCCTGTGAGCCAGACATGCTCCTTTTGCACAGGTATTTAATGGGACGTGGTTTGGGTTTTAAGGAAAACTGCTTTGTTGGAGAGGAGGCCATGAAGAAGCTCCCATGGAGAGCCATGGCTGTAAGTCACATCCAGTGTGGACCTGGGCCAGGGGATCTCCATCCACCCCTGAGCCAGAGCAGCCAGCTCAGGGCTGGCCTTACATCCAGCCTTGTGCTGGAATGTGATGGTGGGAAAGTGACGCAGGAGTGAAGGAGGGGTCCAAAGTTATTCAGGAATAGTAATAAACCAGGAAAGCACCTTCTGTGCACAGAAAGCAGATGAAAACACATCTGTCCTGGTGGGAAGCTGATGCCTTGCAGGCCAGCACACAGCACAGGCCACTGGGGAATACCAGTCTCACACCTTTGCTGGTTCTATGTGAGATGGTGAGGATGTGCTGCTGGTTTCTGAGAGCAGCCCAGAGACCTAAAAGCAAAGAAAGGCAGAAATGCCTCGAGTGCAGAGCAACAAAGCCCACGAGACAGAGGGTTGCAGTTACATGGATGATAAGCTCACATCTGTCAGACAAGAGGGATCTCTCCATTTTGTAGCCCCCAGAGAGGAAGCCAGGGGAGGGAGGGGCTGGCTGTCTCCAGCTAAACTCACCCCATCCCTGGCAGTGTTCAAGGCCAGGTTGGACACAGGGGCTTGGAGCAACCTGCTCTAGTGGAAGGTGTCCCAGCCCGTGGCAGGGGTTGGAGCTGGATGAGCTTTAAGGTCTCTTCCAACACAAACCATCCCATGATTTTGTGATGATTCTATGATCTTCACAGCTTTAGGTCTCACGGGCTGCAGTGTCAACTGCACCCTCATCACCATCCCAGTTCAGCACAGCCGCAATGTGCTGGCTTCTCACCTCCTGCTCCTGTGGTCTGGGAAGTCCCAGGGAGGAAACCCAGGGCCTGGCTGGGGCAGTTGCTCAGGTTTCTTCTTCCTTGTCACCTAACATGGAGTTTGAGTTGAGCTCGGGATGATGAGCTGCCTCTGGGTCTCTATGGATGCTGGGAGAGGAGCTCCAGCTCCCAGCGACGTTCACTGGCCCAGCCTTGTTGCAGGAGCCTTTTTCCTCTTGGGCTGTATGAACTTGCCAGGTATTTCATAATGAAGCACACAGCTATTTGAGGATCTCTCTTGAGGCATCAGGTCTACCTGGACTGAGACTTGGTTGTGCTGTAAGTTACATCTACAACCACATGGTCCTAGGACGAAGCCAGCGCAGTGATACAGCAAAGGGAGAGCTTGCTGGTTCAGCCAGGACATCACCCAGATAGTTTCCTCAGCTCCTCCATCCTAATACTGCCGTTGACAGATGAAATGTGTTTCTGGAGGGATGGTGAGGAAGCCAGCCCTGCACTAGGACCCCCATCCAGGGAGAGCCCTCTGCCCTGTCCCCCCTGCATGTGTCCCAGCAAAAGGAGCTGGTCACTGACTTGGTTAGGGAGGTCAGGAGCTGTGCTCACCAGCGCCTTGCTTTTGGGGCTGGATGTTCAGCATGGTGTGAGAGCATTGCTTGGCCATGACTGAGCTGCTTGGAGGAGCCTCCTGCTCCCTCCTGCTCCGCATGTGTGCTGCCATCCGCGCTGCAGCATGAGTCCTCCCAAATACAGTCCCAGCCGCCTGGTCCGTTACCTTGCCCGCTGACGCCGGTGATGTGCATTGCTTGACCCCTCGGGGAGCCTCCTCTCCCTGCTCCTTGGGGCTGTTGTGTGAGTCCTGTGTCTGTCGGCATCCAGAACAGGCAGCCCCTCACTGCAGTGCCCCACAGGGGGGGCCTCTGGAAGCAGTGAGGACACAGGACTGCAACCCGGAGCTGGT